CTCTCTCTCTCTCTCTCTCTCTCTCTCTCTCTCTCAGATTGTTAAAAACCACTGAAACAATCAACATTAAAAGTTTTATATGATACAGAGACGGTCTCAGCAGATACACTCTGTTTACATGTGGCTCTAGTTTCACTTCTCTGCGAACACACATTTACACACAAACACACACTTTTGACATACTCTCTCTCTCTCTCTGCTTCTGTATGGACTCTCACCCTTTTTTTTCAACCTCTACATTTCCGCTCTCTGCCCCTCCTACTCTGCTCGTCTGCTGATGTGATGCCGGGTTGTGGCATCTCGTGCAGTCTGGTCAGAAGTCCTGGAACAGTGGCGCAGCCAGTTGTCCGGCTGTGGCCTGCTAGAGAGGATGACCTGTTCTTCCTCTGCTGGATCTCAGTGGACTGGAAAGCCTCTGAATCCTCAGAAGCCCATAAGCCAAACAAAGAACAGGTCTACGTGCTGTGAGAAAGGCAGAACTGCTTTCATCATGGTGAAACATGGCATCATTTCCTCTGTGAGGACAACTTGTTCAGTACAAAGAAGAAATTATAACTTCCATTCCAGCTTAAATGCAGTCTTTATGATCTAAGTTGTGACTCAGACATTCAACTAAGCAGCTACATAAGAGGGAGTATTGTATTTCACTGTGATCAGTGGTGGATCTGGGATGTTTCTTACCAAGGGGCTATTTATATGTCCATCATTATACAGCACCTTTTTCCAATATTTGCATCTCTTTAATATCATAAACATATGTATTCTTTGATATAGGCCTAACATTGGCCACCTCTCCCTCTTCCTGACAAGGCTTGTTTCATTCTATTGTCTTCAAAAGGTGATCAAGTTCACATCAAGTAGTGAATTTATCGATGCCCATATTTGCAATGCATATTCACTTAAAGTGGTGGTTTGACATTGTGTGAACTTGGCTGATTTGCTTTATTGCAGAGAGTTAGATGAGACGGTCTAACGGCTGTGCAGTAATTATATAGCTGGCCGGTTAGCTTAGCTTAACATAAGGAGTGAAAACCGTGGGACAAAGCCTGACTCTATTCAAAAAGTAACTAAATCTGCTGAGCAGCAATGAGACTAAAGTCAGTTGGAGAAGAGTGTTGGTGCCTGGCATGTTCTCCTGGCTAAGGAACAGTCTGACACAAAAGCCTATGTGCAACACTGAAGTGCCATTCTTAATATTAGGTTTTTGTACAGATTTAACAAACACGAAGGGTAGGCAGATTTTGTTACCTCTGAATCGAGCCAGGCTAGAAAGAACAAAGAAAGACGCAAGAAACATAATCCCAAAATCTTGAACTACGTTTTCATTCAGCATGAGGGACAAAATATAATCTGCTGTTGCAGCTGTTTCTGTCTAGACTGAAATACCTATGTGTGTCTCTGTGTGTGTCTGGTTCATAATTGGAAGCTGATTTGATAGCACTCCTGGAAGTGAGGAATGTTGAGGGATGTTGTCATATTCATCTGCCTGATGCACCAGCCCTGGATGAACCAAAGTGTCCCTGTTCACCTCTGCAGGAAGTCAAACAACCAGCAAATCTTCTCCTCTGTGACAAATGTGTTTAAAGTCCATGAAACAACCATTAAATAAGGTCTGATTAAATTATCATTGAGTAACTTTGAATCACTAGCTTTTAAATAATTATGTAAATAAGTTAGAGATGGAAATGAAAGCTATCAGCTGACCGTGGAGAACCTTGTGGGTGCGGTGAATGCTGGAGTGGGGTGGAGGAGAGAGAGGATAGAGAGTTAAAGCTTAACAGGAAGTCAATGACAAGAACATTTCTCCACTCTCATTGTTCAGTATGAGAATGTGTGGTGACTCAGACAACACACAAGAATCTAATGCAGCCTGCAAAGCTTGTGGTTTGTGATTCATATTATTTATAGTCCTGTTTTAATATGAGATAAATACAGTAACATTCTTACCTCTGCCAGGGGTATCAGCACAGCACAGATCCAGGGGTATCACCCCTGTCCGTTTGCATGAATCTTGGTGGAAGGATGTGGGATGGGTCAGAAAAGAATCCATTAAATGTTGGTGTGGATCCGGGTCAAGAGGCAGATTCAGGAATATTTGATCCCTTTCTTTAACACTGTGAGCGTTTTGCAGCATTTTCTCTGAGAATATGTCATGGATCTTACTTTTAAAAAATCAAGCATGTTTAGGAAACTGATCTATGAGTGTGTGAAATGTGGTGCAGCTTGAGAGCACTGTTGGGCCTCAGAGCAGGTATGCACTCTATTGACTAACACTCTACATAGCAGATAAAAGATGAGAATGTTCCAATTAACACATCTAACACAGTGTAAACCTTTGAAGCAGCTGAATTGAACCCTGAAATTTTTTTTGTGTGAGCTCCCTGTCAAAAAACATCTTCTGCAGTAAATGACAAACTGGTCCGTTGTGCATGAAAAGCAGCAGAGAGGACAAGTATTCAAATGTGTTTTATGAATTAGCTCAAAGAGACTTTTCTAATTTTGCCACTCAAAACTTTTACTTTTTAGTATCAAACCACATGATCTTAAACTAAGGAAATGATTTTGATTTTAAAAGTGCAAACAAATATAATGTGCACATAGACATAGCTCTTGGCCAATATGTTTTGAGTGAAAGCATCATTACATCTAAACAGTGAAGCCAGAAATTTGACAGGGCCTTTTTGCAGTGAAAGCAATTTGTCTGCGTTCTATGAAATATTTGTGTTGATCATGAGTCTGATCTGCTGTAAAAGCACAGAAGTAAAACACGATACGTTTCGACTGCATTCACAAACCAAAGGAAATAACTCCAGCTGGAACAATCGTCTGTCACACTCACTGTTGCCCACACAAACTGTGACCCTGGTGCCCAGACAGACACTGAGTCCCACACACAGCACAGATCCAACAAATGCTCAGTGTCAAAGTCCGTTCAGATGAGTGATGGTGCACAAATTGAATAGGAGGTTATCGTGTTGTCAGTAAAAATGAAGGGTGTCTGAAAAGCCCTTTGCTGCTGTGAATTACCTCACACCCCTGCCACGCCTTCAGACATCAATCACAGGAAACTCACTCTCCAGCTGCTCACCTCCAGGTGTCCACACGGCAGGAGAGGACTGGGCCTTTCTGTCCTGCGCTGTGTTTTAATGAATCCCATGTGACCCAAGAAACACAACTAAAAACTATTCTGGATATCACATATGAAAGGGCTGGGGAAAAGTGGTGGTTTTAACTGCCTGAATTTGTTGAAAAATAGAAGGTTGATGGTTGTTGGATGATCCAATTCTAAATGATCTTATTAAAAACATATTGTAAGTGTTTTTGATATTTTTGAATTTGTAGTAAATCTACGTCTTCTTCTAACCTATTTCAAAACATATGTGTGTAACCAGTACTGTTAAAAGCTAATCATCATGTCCACCATCATCCAAAGCTAATAGAAAAACTGCTTCTGTCTGTCAACCATCATTGTGAGAAGATATTTTGTACATAATTCTAAAAGAAGTAAAACTGGTTTAAAGTATCAGTTAGATACAACTATCAAATATAATAGGTTAATAAAAAAAACATTTTTTTCCTGTGTGAAGCTTTGAAGTGTCATCCTTATTCTTTTAAAAATTAAAATGATTGCATTCTGCACATGTTAGTACCATCCTTTATGATTGTTTTCATGAATGGATTAAATGTATGGGTTTTATTTTACTCTTGTTTATTTTACTAACATTTAGATATTTGCTGATTCAGTATTAATATTTGTTTATCAAATAAAAGCAAATCTGCAGTACTTGATGACAAGGTAATGCAGACTTTCAGAATGATACACTTGGAGCCTGTTTCATACAGACACATGTTGTTATGTATGATTGCTGTTTAGTTTAACTACATCTTTGACAAGATGGCAGCTATTTTAATTTGTCTTTATAAAAACAACCATCTGATATCATTGGCATGTGTAGGTACAAGGTGAGGATGTGCCCTGAAGAGTTTCTTGTAATTACTTCTGAGTCCACAATTACTATCATGAGGGTGAATCGTGAGTCATCGCTGAGAAAATGACCTACTTTCCACTCGGACTCATGGGCTAATTTATAAAGCCTCATGCAGGCCAGCATGAATGAAGAAAATTCCCACAGTGAGTCACAACAGCATTTGAACTAAAAACAGTGAACTTGTTTTGGGGGAACAAAAAGCCTGGTCAAGACATGCCAGTACATTTGTGTCCAACAACAAAGGGTTTAAAGATATAATAGTGATTTATTTCATTGCTTTTCATCATTGTGTTAAAAGCGGCATAAAAAGGATAATTCATCCAGAAACAAAAATTCACTCATTGTCTACTCACCTCTGTGCTGATGGAGGGCTGAGTGAATTGTTTGAGTCCACAATCAATTTTGGAGTTTCAGGGGTAAACAGTGTTGCAGCAAAATCCAAAACAATTGAAGTAAATTGTGACCACTTCTTCAAACGTAAAGAAACCACAGAAAAAAAACATGAATCAGAATCAGAATCACTTTTATTGCCAGGTATGTGAACACAGGAATTATACTCCGGTTTTACTTAGCTCTCTTAGTACAAACAGTTAAAAAACAAACAAACATAGAGATAAACAAGAACAAAGACAAAAGACAAAAAACAAAAGCTGTGTACATGTACAAAAAAGTGAAAGAGTTTGGTGAAATCCCTCCCCTACTGCTGTTGTGTCATCCAAGTGTCCGTAAACCAGATGAGTGGCCCTTCAGGACCACAGTATTGTTCTTAGTATTATCAGTACACATTGTTTTCTGTTCTGAATGGATGCAAAGGAAACAGATTACAGTGTCATACCATTGTTTGGTGCCAAAGTCGTGACAATAGACTTTGTACTGAAACACTGGATTAAAGCTCTTCTCAAATTGTTAAACATATAAAGGTGTGGGCCTGCACATGGTTCCTGTATAAGACTCTATTATGCTGTGTCTGGTTCAGGTTAATGGGTTTGTACTATAACAGTATAGCTCAGCCCAGTTAGTTTGTAGCCTGGAGGAAGCACAATCACTGCTGACTGGAGTCTCCTGTCCAATAGCTGCAGCTCACAAGTCAGAGGCAGTGGGAGTGAGGAGAGTAAGGAGAGAGCACTGAGAGAGAGAGCACAGGACCAACACTGCTCATTTTGAGACTTTCTACAAGTTTGTGAAGTTGCTGTTTTTGGACATTGGAGAAGACACGAAGCACAACGCTGCACCGCAGACAGAGAGGTTTTTTTTTCTGCGAGCTGACACACAAACTTCCCAACATCTGGTCTGCTGCTGGAGGACGGGGCGAGCCGCAGAGAGAAACTTTTTGGAGGCGGAGAGAAAAAACTATCACCGCTGGAGAAAAATGCACTGAACTGGGGGGAATCTGGAACACCTCCATGAACCGAGGAGTGTTTTGGTGCCCGCGTAAAGTGACAAGAGTGGAGGGGGAAGGTGAAGAAAGTCCGAGTGGAGAGGTCAGAGAATGAATTAGGCTGAGATCGGCTGCTCACTGTCCCAGCCAGAGAGAAGGTAAACAGTTTGTTTCCCCCTGTGTGTTTGTGTGTGTGTGATCAGAGTGAGTTATTGTATCAAACCCAGCCGAGGAGAAGTCAGCTCAGGCTGGAGCTGGGCTGTCTGTGCGTGCAGGGACTCGTTGGTGGGGAGCAGGGCGCAGAGCTGCAATAAAGGTAAACACAGTCCGCCCGTTACCGGATCACAGCAACTCTCAGTGTTTGTGTTTGAGCATCTCACTGCTGGGTTGTTTTCTAAGGACGGCCGTGCTGTTTCTTAAAGATTGGCTCAATCACAAGTATTCTGAAGCTCAGAGTTGTTGGCACAGTTTTTCAGTGCGCGGTGAGATGTCTTCTCTTTCCCAGAAACTTCTTCTAACTTTTTCACCGTTTCAAAAGTGTGTCAGCTCCCTGCAGCTGTGAAAGCGTGAGGACGTCTGAAGCAACATGACCCCAGATAAACTTGATCTATTATCATTGTATTTGTGAAAAACTCAGCTGTTGATTGTTTGGGTGGCAGGGAGTGCGGAGCGAGCCACGGGAGCGCGCAAACAGCTGGCCAGCTGAGCTGCTTTTGTGGGTCAGTAGGCGCGCGCCAACCGCACGTTGGCACGTGACCTATATACTGAAGTTATTTTATTTTCAATGAGTTAAATAACGTCTCCCGGTGCTCAGCTCTGATTGACTGATCGAGACCTATAGAAAGTGTCACCACAAGAAATACAACGTAGAGAGATAACAGATTTAAGTTATCCCGTTTATATGTCGCTTAGCAACCGTTTAGTAAGAATTAGGGCAGTTGTCATGTGCCAAAAATAAAAGTTAATATTGTTATAACTATAACAGATTATTTATTTTATTTTATAAAATCACAATCGTCCTCTAACTATTTTACTTATGTTCTGCATTTATATTATATAAAAATAAATGTATTTTTTTGTTGTGAAATTACATATATTTTTCACACATCACACATAAAGTCTGCCTCCTTGTTGCAGGAGCTTTATTGAGTAAATTTTACAATAAGATATTCAAATTTAAAATGTAAGTTTTCATTCCTTATGTGTTTCTTCTTGTAAGCCAGTCTGAGATCTTAAACATCTCAAAACAGATTTCGCTTATAGCTCCAGAACTATTGTGTTCTATCACATGCATTCTTTTTGTTGTTGTTTTAATTACTTATTATTTGACTTTTTCCTCCACACTTTTATCTTTTTACTACATGTTTTATTGTTGATTGAATCCTTCATGTCTCTTTAATCCATTTAAAGCATCTTGAATCTTTTAGAAGTTATATAAATAAATAAGCAAACAACCATTGTTGTTATTACTTGCAAAACACAAGTTAAAAGATTTCAACCTCTATTATTAAAAAGAGGTTATGATTTGATGTTTCCGTTGTGTTAACACGATTTCATTACAAGCGGCACGCTGGCCCTCTTCTTCCTCTAGTGATTTTTTAAATAGCTGAAAGGGATTCATGCTGGATCAAGTCATGATTGATTGCTCCTCTCATGAAGCACAGCCTGTTGGCACGTTGCTCGATTTTAGAAATCTTTCATGTGACCCACGCTATCATTTTTCTAAAAATATATTTGGCTATCGTCTCTGGTCCAGGCTCACTCCTTGGCCCCTCCACCTCCTCCCATAAGAGCCAGGCCAACGTCCATGGATGAGGAGCGGAGCGCCCCCGCCATCTCCCCAGAGCCGCCTGATGATGGGGACCCCGGTCGACCAGCTCCGCTACAAGGTTCAAACCCAACCTGCAACACAGAGAGGGCGAACAGCTGCCCAGAGCCAAAACCCTTTCATAGTGAAGGTAAGAATCAGGTTCACAGGAAACAACAGAAAAACTTTTGTCTCACTCTCATGTGTACGTGTGTAGCTGCTTGATGGTGTTTGAGAGAAAGAACAAGAGATTTGACAAACAGCTGTGTGATGGGTCTGAACATGCCCTGAATATGTTTATAATCACAAACACCAAGTTCTATCAAACCCCCTTTCTGCTCTTAATGTGTGTGTGTGTGTACTATAAATGAGGTTTGCTCAAAAAAAGACAGGAACTAGTTATTAACAGGCATTTGTTATAAAAAGAAGGAGCTAGTGGATTATTGCTGAGAAAGAAAAAGTCAATGCTCTTTCTTGCATGTGAAGATCATTATTGTAAGATGTCGGCCAGTAGGTGCGTGAATGTATGTATGCAGAAGCACTTTACTGTCTGAGCTTTGAGATCTCCAAAGCAAAAACTACTACTACATTCTAGAAATCCATCTTGTTTCCAGTAGATGTGATTATGATTCATAATGTCGGAGACCCTCTCACTGACAGACACAGCAGTTATTTTTTGAGGTGATTGGAGATTGGCCTGTGTGGGGGACGTGCCTCCTTGGATGATCAGAGGGATGACGTCCAATTCAGCGCTGTGGAACGCTTTAAGGCTGCAATGGGACTCTTGGGGATTTGGGAATGAACCTATGACCCTTTCCTTTGTGTGATTAGTCATGGTGAGGGTTGACTGACATCGGGGGCGGGAACAGGACTATGAGGACCAACTTGGGGCAGCACTGTCTGTGCCTAAATGACTCATCCAGGATGGGCCAAAATGCTTCAAGCTCCCTCAAGCTTCAGTGAGAAATACAGCTGTAGTATCAGAGTGCAGGTCCTATGGGGTAATTAGGCTAGGTGTGGTTACCCCGTTAAGGAAGTGTGCAGAGATTTAAGTGCCTTGTTGCCACGGGAACCTGCCACAAAACCCTTCGATGGTTAATGCAGTTCTTGTATTTAGTTTTTTTGAGGCAAGTCTCGACCCAATCTATTATGATTGCTGTATCGAATGTGCAAAAACACAGAATCCGCACTCACGCTTCATTGTGGTTTATCATAAATTGTAAGTAAAGCCTCAGATTTAATTATAACATCTCAATGAGGAGCTTTACAGTTTATAAACAGAAGTTTTGAGTCTGAACATGATTTTACCTGAGCTTTCCTTTCGCCCAAAGTGTTACTGTGGCTTCTCTCACTAAAGTTAGACTGCTTGTCTGGTGGTCGACTGGGCTCAATTTGTGTTTGTGTGTGTGTGTGTGTGAAGGCTGAGGGTAAGTAGGTGAGTCAGAGTGGGGAGGAGGGCAACAAGGCCCTGCTTTCAGCGCTCTGTTTCACCCCCCATCTATCCCTCAGCCCACAGAGTGCAGGGCGTTGAGACAACACAACAGTCACATAGATCTACCTGAGTTTGTGCATGGATGTTTTTATCAGAACAGCTTTTTTTCTCTTTCTAGATTAACTCAAAACTGCCCAGCCCATGACAAATATGCATTTGTGTCTTACTGCTTCTGACCAACCCTGATCATGTCACCAGTTGTTGTTTATGTTGCCTGCAAGCAGGGCAACTCTCTCAGCATAGCTCAGGCATCGAAATGAGGCACCGGTCAAGTCTGTACCCAAACCTAATCCTAGGTTGTTTCGTTTACCCTAACCAGCCAATATCGAATGATATATCTGTCCCATGAATCACATTTCCAGGTGACATAGAGCTGTAGTATTGGCGGCCAGGAGCAGGGAACTTCATGTTTTTCACATTCATCAACAAAAGATATTGAGATTTGTTATTTTTGTAAGTTGATGCATGCGTCATGCTCGTCAGGCTGTGTGTGTCACAGAGGCCTCTGACAGCACCTCTGCTCCGCTCAGTCATTACAAGGCCATTGAATACTAGTGCTGTTGTAGTGGTAGTGCTGCTCTTGCTGTTGCTCTCACTCAGACATTAAGATGCATTGAGGCTGTCTGTTTATACACCACATGCTAGCTTGACTCTTCATTGTGTTTCACCACTGGCAGCTCTCACACTCTATTCTTTTCTCTTCCTCTCTCTTGTTTCTGTTTATCTCTCTTTCTGTCAGTCTTTGTATATTGAACATAAATTAGTTTCTTTATCAAAATGACCATTTAATAGGGTGTCATTCTTTTATAGTAATAGACATTTAAAGTATTTCAAGTGTGTGTTGCAGATGTAGGAGGTAAAAGTTGTAGTTGGTGACTGTTGCTTCCCAGTCATAGAGATAACCACAGCAATGTATACAACAGTAGCTAATGAATGTTTAATTTTGCAAGTTTACCAAGCAAAATGTCTGTTGTTTAGTAAACATTATCTCTGCCTTCTTATTCTTTTCACCCAAGTTGTATAGTCAAGAGAGAAACACTGATCTGTATGATTTCCGTGTTTGACGACAGAAAGCGTTGGTTTCCTACTCCTAAAAATAAAGTTGAGTTGTGGAATATTTCTGTAGATACTGTGATTAAGTTTAGTTTAGCGTGATCCTCACCAACAATCTTCAATGTGCTTAAAACAAAACACTGAGATTTGTGATGCATGGTTTTTGCGTCATATGGCAAACTTTTCCTTAAACAGTTTATTTACAGTGTCTCTCTAATTTTTTGTGAAGAAAGAATCCGGGATTTGCCAGAATAATAGAAATGAGATATTTCATGTTGTTTTTAGAGGTTTAGATCTCAAATAGCATTGGTGTGTTCATCATTGTGCTCTCCTACGTGAAATTATTCCCATCTGTCACAGTCTAAACTCACTTTATTCTCTATTTCCCCATCTCTCTCTCTCTCTCTCTCTCTCTCTCTCTCTCTCTCTCTCTCRCTCTCTGTCTCTCTCTCTTWTTTTGAGCATACATGCAGATATTTGCCTACTTGTCCCTTTTTCATGCCGGAGGTTTGTTAAAGCTTGTGTCTATTTTGGTTTCTCACAGGAATTGAAATAAACTCGGAGCAGTTTGAGGCATTCTGTGATACATTTTTTTTTCCTTTACCACCTCGCAAACATTTAAAGAACTGTTGCTACAGCTGTCTCTGCTCTTTTCCCCCTCTCCCCAAATCTCCATTACCAACATTACCAACTGCTGACAGATATATAGAAAAGAATATAGAAGCGGTATATATTGGCTAGTCATATGCCGTATGTCACGATATATATATTAAAAAAGAATCACCCTGCATGGGGTTGTATGTCTTCCTCAAGCTTGGGTCTTCTACTAGAGGCCTGGGAGTTTGAGGGTTCTGTGCAGTATCTTAGCTGTTCCTAGGACTGCACTCTTCTGGACAGAGGCTTCAGATGTTGTACCTGGGATCTGCTGGACCCACTCTCCCAGTTTAAGGGTCACAGCCCCTAATTCTCCCACTACCACAAGGATCACATTGCATTTCACTTTCTACATTTGTGCTAGCTGTTCTTTCAGGTCTTGGTATTTCTCGATCTTCTCATGCTCTTTATTCCTGATGTTACTGTTATTGCCACATCTATCACTACTGCCATCATCTGTTTTTGTCAACCACCACTATGTTGTTGGTTAGCCAGCAGGTGTGGTTAGTCTGGAATCCATTGTTCTCAATCACTTTCGGCGGTATGTCCCATCAGGACTTGGGTACCTCTAATCCATACTTGGCACAGATGTTCCTGTACACAATCCCAGCCACTTGGTTATGACTCTCAGTGTATGCTGTCTCAGCCTGCATCTTACACCCTCCTTCAGTTCTGATTGTCTTTCCTCTCTTTGATACCATCCAATCCCACTAGTCCGAATAACATTCCGATGACGTTGCTGTAGATTCTGGTAGTGTGGATCAGTGAGTCGATGTCTCGCTCTCTCCTAGCATACAGCTTCATGTCGTCCATGTAGAGGATGTGGCTGATCTTTGCTCCAGTTCGAAATCATTATCTGTAACGAATTGTGATGAGCTTAGGGGGTTCAGGGCTATGCAGAACAGCACTGGAGATGGAGCATCTCCTTTGGTATGCCACACTTGATGATGACCTGTACAATCGGCTTTGAGTCAGCCTCTAGAGTTGTTTTCCACTGCCCCATTGAGTTCTTGATGAAGTTTCCTGTTGATGTTGTACAGTTCCTAGGATTCCAGTATCAATGCATGCAGCATCAAGTTGTAGGCTTTCTTGTAACCAATCCAGGCGGTGCACAGATTGGTCTCTCTGATTCTGCAACTCAAGCTACTGCTTGGTAAACCAGTAGCTGGTGCTTGGTGCTTGGCTTCCCTGGTGTTGCTACCAATTCCTTTCTGGACCCCGCTCATGTTGAGCCATGTGCCTACTCATTTTAGCTGCTATGATGCCTGGCAGGAGCTTCCATGTTGTGCCAGTAGTTGGATGGGACCTTTTGGGGGGCCTTCATGATTATAACTATCCTGCCCTGTATTAACCATTCCGGGTGAGTCCCATCTGTTAGCAACTGTTTCATTTATGCTGCCAGGAGTGCAGGTAGCCAGTGCGTATGGATCATGTCAGGGCACAGTGCCATTCAGCTCTTCATACTTGACACTCTGTCTTGCTCCGGGAGATCTCTCAAATATCCGTTGCCATTGTATAAAGGCTTTATGTATTTCCCCCTAACCTGTCGTACTCAAATTTCTAATTAACAAAGCTGATCTATAAGGCAGTAAAAATTATTTGTGCATTGTTTTGGATATCTGCACACACTCTGATTCCAATATTGTTTTTGTTATAACCTGATATCTGCTTATAATATCAGCTGGCTGCAGCGTGTTTTCAAACACTGTATACATTTGTCAGTATAGATCCAGATCGTGGGCTGGACGGGTTTATTCATGTCTGTGTAAATTCTGCCACTCTCCTCCTGAATGTGAATTTGACTGAATGTTGTTTATCCTCCACTGATGATGGCTGTTTCTCCTTATAACCATATGTTAAACAGTGCACAGTGTGTTCGTGTCCTTGTTTAAGGAACTTGGTCATTTCAGGCTACATGTGCTAGATGCAGCAGTATAGCACTCAGTTAGCTAAGCAGATGTATTTTCCCATGGAACAAAGTAACACAATTAAATTCCCCTTAAGCCTGTTCAACAGCAGACAGTTTTTGTCTTTAATGAGCTTACACTGCTTCATTCTCTCAGCAGCTATAATCTCTAATTTTGGACATATTCCAGTATAGCACTCTCACAGCCCCTCTGTACTGTGTGTGTGTGTGTCTGTGTGTGGCTTTAACATTTGGCTGGATTGCAGCTAAACAACTGCTTCATCTTTCCTTTTCTTTGTGCGATTGCGTACATTTGTTGCAAGACAGATAAAAACCACACCACTGTGGTTGTAGCTGTGTTCTCTTAACTTAACTGTGTTATCCTTGGTCCCAATTGGACCCTCTGTCCTGCTTATGTGTGGTTTCAATCAGTTCCAGTCATTACTCTGGTTAGAGAGCTACTATACAGCGTTGTCTCCAGTAAGCGCTCTGCTGAACATTATTCTGCTCCTCACCTCATCTCATTGTTTCTTCTTTCCGAATCTCTCTCAGCTCTTATCTTTATGTTTTTAGAGATAAGGCAGCAGAGTGTGAATGTGTGCAGCCATTGTGTGTCTGAATAGTGTGCTTTCAAGTAGAGCTGAAACTGCAATGATTATTTGTATTAATCATCAATGTTATAACAACTAATCAATTTTAGCCTGTATAATATTGAAAATTTTCCATGCGCTGTACAGCTTTGCCAAAGGGATGTACACACTAAACACACTTCCTTTCTAATAAATGCTAGAAGCCTGTGCTTTTAAAGGAGCATTAACAGAGGTGTAGAAACAGGCCTGAGGAAAAGCAGTAGGTAAACTCAGACACCGTACCCAGAGGAACAGCAGGCGGCACTCCCCTTCAGGTGATTCAGGATGTGTCACGTGATTTGCCTGCTCATATAACCTGGATGTTTGTGTGCATGTGTGTGTGTGTGTGTGTGTGTGTGTGTTGTGTGTGTGTGTTTGTCTTAATCATTCCTCTATGCGATATGTTTTTGCTTTAATGGTTGTTTGTTTACCAGGAGAATAAAATTTGCCCCCTTTAGGGCCGCTGACACGTGTACATGAACTAAATTACACACACACAAGAACGTGCTCATACATGAACACACACTCAGACACAGTCAAGCATGCACAGCCCAATACACACACTCACCCACACATGTAAACACACAGCCAGATCTCCTCAGTGGCTCTTGATTGCTCTGGTCTGATTTGAATTAGAGGCTCATCTCTCTCAGATCTCAGAAATGGCTCTGAGGTTGAGCGGTTTGGCGGTTTGATGCTGATGCCAATGCACAGTTGGTTGAAGGCCTGCTTGGATGGCACTAGGGGTTTTGTGGGGATGTGTTTAGCTCCAACAATCGTGGTTTTGAACGTTTACAGAGGGGGAGCTTTACTGAGTCACAGAATCTACATACTTTTAACCCATGGTACTCCACTGGTAGCAGACGTTTAAATATGAATTCATAACAGACTACTGTGCTGCAGCGTGGAGGGGTTCAGCTGACCAGATGATTGATCATTTATCCAGTATGAACATGCATATGATATTCAGACACTTAGTGTAAGTATTTGTTTCATATCTGCATGTATGTCATTTGTCAAATAAGAGCAGTGATGTTGTTAACGTTTCCAAGAAAGTTGTATTTCTCCGATTTTGAGGTAATGGATTCTTCTTGAAATGGTTGCTGTGAAGTCATGGGGACTTTACACAGTCCTTTCCTTTCCTGAAGTTTGCCTACGCTGGGCTTTTGTGTGGCTTTGATAATGACATAATTGCCCCCAAATGCAACTTCAGTGTACGAGAACAAAACAGCAACAGGGATGAGTATAACCAACAAATGCCACCTAAAGCGCTTTTTTTTGTTTAAATCATATGACTGATCTCAATATTTTCAAAAAGCTGCCAATGTCTGAAATCATTGGAGTCAACTGTTGCCCACCAGCACATGGTGAAATTTTAAATCCCTGTGATCATTATTTGGATAGAATTGATAACAGCTGCATAGAACAATGGAGGCAACTGATTGATCATCATGTGTAATCTGACTATTAATTACATGATTTTAGGAAAAATAAACAAATTATTTTAATGGATAATTACAAATACATAACAACATTTTAGCTGCCTGAATGGATATTTGCATTGGTGTATGGAGGTAGTTATTCATAGGATATACACTATATAGACTTTTAACTTGGATTTGCTTTGAAACCCTGTCAAACTGTTTTGTCCAAAACAATTATAAGGAAACTCAAATAGGAATGGATGGGTGAATACATAATAATAGACAGGCATGTGCACTGACATACGTAGTCTATAATACACACACATATCTCCAAAGTAGACATTTGGCAGGATCGAGGGCAACAATCCTTACGAGTGGCTTTCATATCTGAAGCAGGCTGATTGAGACTAATGGATACAACATGGGCTTTAGAAATGGCTTCCACATGCAGGAGTCAAACGTGTTTGTGTGTGTGTGTGTGTGTGTGTGTGTGTGTGTGTGTAGAGAGAGAGAGAGAGAGAGAGAGAGAGAGAGCTGGTAGTAGATATAGAAAGGGAACACTGGAGGATGTGTTTATGGCGTGTGTGTTTATGTGCAGGTATGTGTGTGTGGGTTTTGTATACCACAGTCTAATACAACAGAGAAGCAGGAAGCACTTCCCATCCCTTCAAGTCCTGTTTACATCTCCTGAAGCTTAACACACTCAGAAATCCTACTACACACAAAAATGTTTGCAAACACATGCATAAACTCTGGTTAAACAAATACAAATCCTGACTGACTGTTTATGTTAACATGGACACCAATATTCCGATATAAACCTGATTAAAACCATTGTGGCATCGACATTTATTTGAGTTAAAAACTGCTTAACAGCATTTCAGGCTCAATAACATGTTTTTATGTGACATGAGTATCTATGGCATGTTCTATTTGTAACGTCTGTAAACATAATCGAAATAATGTCTTATTCAGTGTGAGGTAGAAGGAATATTGCTGTCCATGTAGCCACTGTTTTTTCTCATCAAGGTTAGACTACCTTAGATGATCAAGTAGTTATAATATGATTTGTATTCTAAAGGAATAAAAATAGTTGTCTTTCAGACATGCTAAGCTAGCTTGGAGTTACATTTTTCTTATAATTAACTTCAAAGATGTATTATATATAAAAGAGTATAGACAGCTCTGTCGTGCAGATTGATTTTGTATTATTATTTAGATTTAGCATCGTCTGATTATTAACTTTTATTAGTGGTGCCAATGAGTTTGTGTCTGTGCCTGAACCTCCATAAGTACCATGATTGCCTCTCCTCATGTGTCTATGAATAAAGCAAGATGTTTAGATTTCAGACCAACGCAGCAGCACAGTAGTTGTACTTGGACAAATACAATATCAGAACCAGATATCTAGTCTTTCTACTAACTGTGCTTGCCTCCTCTCTTGAAATTCTTCTTGTTGTTCATTTCTTCTTTGCTTTCACTTTGTTCAAAGCACTCTGCTCACTTATTCATTTGACTCCTACAGCTCAGATACCTTTGCAGTGATATTATATATGTTTTGCTGTAAAAGCGGGAGGATTCATCTTGTGCCAAATATCTGAAGGAATTTATTTGTAAGAGCGAACGCGAACTGGAGACATCAAGTGTGAGAGGCAGGGGACGGGAAAGAGAGGACAGATAGAGAAGTAAGCCCAAGTAGATAGAGTAAATAAACATAGCCGGGAAGTGTTGAGTCCATGCGCAGGACGTGGTTTGTGTGTGTGTGTGTGTTTATCAAACCCAGCTGGCTCCTATTTGCCCAGGAATGAGTCTGCACCTCTCAGAGGCCCAGGCCTGCCCGGCTTTGAAGGCCTCTGTGTATTGTATGTGTGTATGTGTGTATGTTTGCATGTGTGTGAATAACAGCTTCATTAGAGGGACACATAAAACACCCAGACATGTATTTACTGTATGTATATTAGGTGTATGTCCACATTTTAAACGCACATTCACATACATCTGCGCCATTTTCAGGTTTCACAAGCATACACATGGACCCCTAAACAGTCCCAAGGGGTTGGATTTAACTGCTTCCAGATGCAAGTTCAGGAAAGAGCACACACCAACGCATACAGACAAAATCTTCTGCTTTGTTGAAGTCAGCAGAACTACTCTATTTAAATGAATTAAGTGGTGGTGGATGGGAAATGACATAGGAATAGTAGAGTTTACTGTGAGTAGGAAACCAGCTCGCTGCCGATGCCTGACAATAAGAAAGCAAACTGGGAGTCCATGTGACCCTCAAAATAAAGTTTGAATTAATATAATCTTTGTGCTTTCACACACAACTATTCTTATGCTTATTAACCATGACCTTCTTGTGTTTTTTTTACAGATGTGGCCCTCACTTATACTGAGCCCCTCATATTGAGGTTAAATGGCACCCCAGAACGGTTGCTAGGCAATGACGGAGACAACCGTAAGAGCAGCCTCTCACACTCGGAGCTTTCAACACCCAGCAAGAGTATCACATGTGAGTAAATAGCCCTCTCTCTCTCACACACACATACACACACAGGTCAACACATAGACACATGCAGAAAGACGGGTGAGAGTTTTATTTCCATTACCGATCACCGGTCTGATGAGTCACATTGTCCTGACCTTTAACAAATACGTTTGCACACCCTGAGGAAATGGGTCAGGTGATCGTACACAAGGACAGAAATATCTACAGTCTCAGCAAAGTAGGTTAAATGTCTGATATCTGAGCACAAGTGAGTCTGTGCCCACATCACCATACCTGGAATGAAACATCTCTCTTCCTCTTCTCCACCTCTATCCTGCTTCTCTGTCTGTCTGTCTGTCTGTCTGTCTGTCTGTCTGTCTGCCACCAGCTTTACTGTCTGTACTTCTACATTGAGAGTTGAATGTTTGATGATCACCATGACTATGCTAGGTGGATATGACTGGCTCTGTGGAGTTGGCTTCCATTAACCAACCTCCTTTAGATAGTTAAGGTTCACTGGACATCATAGCATGTGTGGATTAAAAATGCAAACCCCCCCCCACTCACCCCAAAAAAAAAAATTAATAAAAGAGTATATCAATCAAGTAATCAATGATTTGAGAGCTGAAGTCACATTTAGGTCAACTTCTTCCAAAAGCTGCAACCTCTTGCTTCTTTTACTGGTCTATAATGTGGTTTTGGGGTTTCTTAATAATATTGAGAAACCCCAAAACACTGAAGATCTTTTTATTTTGTAAAATTAGAAAAATAAACCTAAATTGTTATTTGAATAAAAAACATAACAAACAATCTTTAAGTTTGTATCATTAAAAAACTGCAGCTCCCATCAGTTAAGCCATGCACATATAATGTATCATCATAACTGTTTTTACCGAACTGTCCCAGCCACTCAACTGGCCTCGGATAAGCTTGTCATATTTAACCCTAAACAGTCTTAGTCTTTTAGGACATTTTCTCCACATGCCTTGCACGGTTCACAGCAAAATAGACTAAAATTAGCTTTCACCGCAGTTTCAATGTCTATCTGTTGAATATTTAAAAGTAAAATAATAACTCCACTCCCTGTACTTGTTTCAAAGTAAAAGTTGTTATTATTATTGCAGGACCAGAGGATGCACGGCTTCATATCGTAGTGTCCTGGCATTAAGTTGCGTATATTGCGATACTTTTATTTAAGAAAATACAGTGATCATACCAGAAGCAGCAGCTGACCCGCTCCCTCTGAGAACAATAGATGCTTGTGACTGGCAGCCACAGCGCAGCCATCAGTGAGCAGTCTGCTCACTCAGACCATGTTATTCATCAAAGTTTGCGGCAGAACATGAATACAAGTTCTACACAATACATCATGTCTGAATCATGTCACAATGGGGGTGGTGGTGCAATGGTGGTTGCCTCATTACATCATCAAACTAGGTCTTATGTTATCTTCCTGATTGAGGGACGCCTAGTGGCTGAAATTTCACATGGTACGTTAAAGTTGGATAAGATATTCTTTACTCTGTAACAGAAGTAGAATTTCTGCTTCCACACGTTCACAGTTCGATGTCAGAACTTATTTCTGTGAAACTAGTTTGTGACCAATCAACCCTAACAATGGATCTCACTGCTGCTGGTTGGCCATTGTACTGGAGAGGAAAACATGTCTCATATTGTGTGTACTCTATTAACACCGAGCTTTTCAAGACTGAACTACCTCCTACTGGGTGTACCAGCACAGCTCCACCTCAGTTTACTGGTGAGGAGCATCACAGACTTAAATTTCTCAATCAAGAGTTATGTCACCAACCGCCACCACCCTTTCCCCTCCCTTATATCACCAGTCTGGTGGTTATGTCTCAGACAGAGAGAGAGACTGTTTCACTCTCCTGGATGTGCAATCGCTCCAGCCTGCTGTGACAAAGCCAAAGGTTACACAAGTACTGTGTCATTACTTCACCACGTATATTTTTCTTGCTTTTACCCAGGTTTGAAATAAGTAGAATCTCTACCTAATATTTAAATTTAGCTCTACTGTGTCATTTTTTTCTTTTCGGAGAACGAGCCTCACAATAATAACACCCACAAAACTCTGTTGTGTTGTCTCGATGCTTTGCCACAAACCTAAAAGCACCGTAAAAACTTTAAATGCTCCAAATTGGTCTAAATCTGTACTTCCTGTGAGTGGAAGAGACAGAGGGATGGTGTATGAGTGAATGAGTGATACGTCAGGGGAGGAACTGAATTTAAGGGGTGAGAAGAAGGTTGAGCGAGCTGACATTTGAGCATTTATTCGAAAAAAAACAACAAGGGTTTTTCCTGGAATCCAGGGCCAGCCATGGGTGACATGCACAAACACACAGACCTGCTCCATCATAACAGCTAGTTTGTGGTAACTGAAAGAAACCAGCAGTTCAGTAAGGAAATGGATAAGTGGGTGAAAGCAGTGTGTTTTGAGCTGAGTAGGTGTGTGAATTGTCTGTTATGTCTCTGCCTCTATCTGTGCCGTCTGCTGTTTGTGTCTTATGAGTCTATTTCAGGCTGGAGGACTGATGGTGAGGTTTGAGTTTTTCTCACTGCCTCTTTCTCTCTGACTTATTTTTTACATCCCAATAAAAATCCTTGAGACCCACCAGCTCCATATGCTGTGCAGTAAAGGGTTATGCAACGACAGTAGGCTTGGACAAAATGTACCGTCATGCACACCAGTCTGCACTGGCTTCCCATTTGCCTTCATGTGCCTCCTCCCTTCATCCATAGCTTCCTCCCTCCACAACTTACACAATCGCACGTGTGTTCGCCGGATTTGAACCACAAACCAAACACGTTTTAAAATTGAGCCCTTTCTCAGGTGAGCACAGACAGGGTATGCCTGTGTGTCGGCATAATTATACATCTGACGTCTGATCCCTGTGCTTTGACAGCGCGAATTTGTCTGTGTGTCTTTTTAGAACCTTGTAAGAGCCTGAATGCAGTTTGAATACAGTCTGTTAGCGATAAATCATCAGCTGTTTCTCTGGTTTCATACTGAGCATGAAGATTCGTTACTTAGTAGCTGTGACTCAAGTCAACACCTGCAATGCAACAATCTGTCTGTGGAAGTGTTTGTGAGTGAAAGCGTGATGAAACAGAAGCGAAAACCGGAACATGCTCAGTCCATATGCTCAGTCTCATAGTGATGACATCAGAGCTACAGTATGTGTCTGGCCCTTGGGCTTATGACTAGCTCTCTGATAACAATGTGCAGAGAGAGCTGTTAACATATGTGACTGTCTGTTACGACCCAACACACACACATACTCTCTGTCAGTGATGTCATGCCCACACTGCTGCCTCTGACGTCACCGTCACAGCAGGAAACACACGTTCACAGATGTTTAACTGCTTACACTCATTCTGGACTCATGAGGAAACAATGACAAACGTAATCCATCACTGAAAGGATCACAGTAGCATTCATGACATGTCTATTTTCTTAATTTGTTTTAGTTTGAAATATTTTTTCACTAAATGAGATCAACATACAGAAAATAGCAGACATCCCAGCTCAGCATGTAGGAACGAGGGCATGAAAGTGTGTGTCAGGGAACCGCTGCGTGGAGCTGTTTGTTATTATCTTGTCATCGAAGGGGAGGAGTGTGCAATGTGTTGTTGGTAGGAAATCTAGCAGAACCGTGACACTGCCTTTGATTAGAGAACAGTCACTGTGCTGAAACTGTTATCCCCCTCTGTTGCTCTGCCTTTGCATTCTTATTCAGTCTTTGTTAACACAGAGCAGAGTGTTTGAAAGGCCATCTGTGTCATGCCAGGGGTCATGAGGTGGTTGATGTCTCAGGTTAAGGATCAGGATTGAGTGTGTCATCTTGCATGTTCACTTTATTTTCCTCTTTTATTTCTTCTTCTTTCTCAGATATTTGTACAATGAGGTGAAATTAAGGTCAAATATTGCCAAAAAAAAGTGAATGAAATGTTTTTCCAAAAGCTGGACTGAAGTGAATAAACAGTATTTCTGATCGTCAGAAAACCTGGGAAGTTTGTTTCCAAAATGTTTTGGGTATTGGGAAAGTTGTTTTTCTTTTGCATCTGCTCATGTCATATTTCATGTTTTCATGCAAACGCAAAAACAAATAAATGTTCTCTGCAATTTCCAAAATAAAATACAACAGATTCATTCCTGTGCACATCTGTGTTTTCCCCTGGTTTAGAGAAAAGGCTCTGCTGCGAACATGTGCAGGCACGAATACATCAGTCAACTCTCAATCAGTCAAACCCTTAGAGCACTGGGATCCTGGGATCAGATTTACACTATTGTTTGTAAGCACTCCACCGGTGGTTGAGAAAATCTTAATAATTGCTATTAATCTGATGTAAGATTGTGTAAGCAATTGATATGTAAGTGTTTGAATAGACCCCTTATTATGGGATTTAACAAACCTTAAAACTTTGACTGTCAGGCAGAAACATGTTACTTGAAACAGGTTACTTGCAAAGAAAAGAAAATACTGGATCATGAATAATTTCTATTATCATTTTACATAATGTGATTTTTAGGTGTTTTGTAGGTTGGTTTGTCTATCACTGAGCATTTGACTAAAATAATAAATTTAACAATACCATATTTGGAACGTACTGCACATAAATTACAGACTAATTCAATAATCCAGAGGTAAGCCAACCTGTTGTAGAGGTGAAACTTTATACTAGTATCTCACAAACATTCCATAGACTATATGTAACTCACAATACTCAATACATTTGCTATTTGACATTTGGGTTATTGATTGTTTAATTAAAAATGTCCTCAAATACTTAACTGAGACTTAAGTTCTTCAGTCACTCCACTTTGGTTGAAGTGCAGCGTTCTACACCCTTAGGGCCAAACACAAGTTCCAACAACTGAATCTCTGAGTCCTTGAACCACAATATTAATGACAATGAAATCAGACCTGTCTTTTTCTGCCTTTAAATATGTCTGTTGCCTGAAGGAAGTAATTGTGATGGGATGTGGTGCATGTTCTGTGAGC